ACTGTGCATAAAAGAGAATCTGAAAAGCTGTCTGGGAGCTTACACCTGTACCCAGTGAGCTTCCTCATCAGCATGCTAAGCCTGGCCTCCGAAAGCAGGGGAGAGAAATCTCGCAAGCACAGGAAAATAGACAAATTTCTCTCCTTCAAGCCTAATCTGATGATTTAAATCTATCTCCCCTAATGCCTCTCAGGTGTTCTAACCATCTTATGCCTTTTTAAGAGCTCTTCTGCAGGGAGTTAACACTAGCAGCTTCTCTTCTGATTAAACACATCTGCCACAAAATAGCAGGAACCTTCTGGACACAATGCAATTCTCAGAACTTCTAATAGAAAATTTGCAGAAGGTTTTGCACGCTGGTGGGTTTGCTTAGACTTTGGAGAAACTGGGGGCAAAGTTTGTTTAGGACTTAATGGCCTTTAAACAAAGGCAACCAGAAAATGTTGACATAGTGACATTACTGGCTAAAACATAAATTAAAAAAATTAAACTACCAAGGTGAAAGGTTACATTTCCAAAGAAAGCTAAAATCAGGACTATCGTCAATACATAAGTGAGCACATGGTTTGAGATTTTATTTAAGTCATTAATGAGGAAAATGATGTTACCGCCAGTTCAAAAGAGGATCTAAACAGCAGACATAGTTATAGAATAAGAAGAGTGAAAAATGAATGTGTGCACGGAAGGCAAAACTCACCTTTCCAACAGTAGCTAGGGACATCACCCGAAACTGTGCGACAGGATTTACATGTCTACAACAAGAGTTATTTTGTATGGCTATCAGTTTACAGAGTTGTAAAGCAATTCTGTAGACACGGAATGAGGTCATCCCAAACAGTCTGCTATTGGCGATGCATCGTTTTCCACCGAAGCACAATTATTTTTACCTACACAGACCACTGACAATCTTATTGATTGCTATATTCCCCAAACCTGGTACAGGGTAGAGGCTTCATAATTACTTGCTAAATGGATAAATGTCTATTATGTACTAAGCTAGGCCCTTCACATGCATCATCCCATTTAATCTTCTCGGTAACACTTTGAGATAAATATCATTGTCATTTCACTGATGAGAAATTTGTGTGACATTACACAGCTATTATGTGTCCAAGGTTGAGGGTGGAGGACAAGATGGAAGGGTTTGACCCAGTATATTATTTTTATTTACATTCACTGTATCATTTGCCTCTAAATTAAGAGACTATTTATATGTCACACTGATATGCCACATCTCCTTGATGAGGATGATATTGGAGATCCTGGCTTTAAGGAAGACAAGGGAACAGCATTACTCAGGAGAATCTAAGCCTACGTAAGAGACATACATATGAGCATCTTTCTTGCAGCCTTGTAGACAAGCACAGCATAGTTACCAGCCCGGATTATTTCCCTCCCCTGCTTAGGTGCTCATTTCCCATGAGAATAAAGATCGACGGATTCAACACTGTTTATATGTGTTGTTTATTTTCATAGAAGTCAGGACAGCACCTCAGAAAACAGCAGCAGCTAACATTCACTGCATGCTTATGATGACCGGGAGCCGCTGTCCCAGCAACATCAGGCGGAGACGATCCTCATCCCCCTTTTACAGCTGGAGAAAGCCACAGTGCATCCAGTAACCTTCACAACATCACACAGCTCAGTCACAGCACCCACTGCTCTGACCTGTCCCTGAGTCACTCTATGTCTGCACAGGCTGCTGAGGTGGGCTCTGTCAACATGTCCTGATATTTTATTAGCCTCTTTGCTTTGTTGATTGCAGCCTGAAAGGGCACTAGGATTCCCTCAGCTTCCAGCACCACAGAGCTGGTAACTGCAGGCTGGCCCAAGTTCTGAGAGCTAATTCCTGGCTCCTTGGCACTTGTGATCACTTGGGAATTTTACATTCTTTCTTGGCCCAGAGAACAGGAGAGGGGAGTGGTCTTCTGAGGCCCGAATAGGTGAGTGTCAAAAAGAAGTGAACCAAATGTTAATCTGAAGTCATTACCTCTGATCCCTAAGTCCCCAAATAATTCCCTTTCTTTTCTTGCCAGAAAACAGCTTAGAATGAAGTCATAGTATGTTTTTAGACTCATCCAATGAAACTTGACCTAAATAATAGCTCAAAGCCGGCATGAAAAAGGTGTCAATAAATGGCTTTACTTCTGTTATTGCATTTAATTTTCACAACGATTCTATGAGGCAGGTACTATTAGTACCTCCATTTTGGGGATGAGGAAGTGGGGTTAAAGAACTTGCTCAGAATCCTTGCCAGGATCTTGCCCAAGGGCCCAAGGAGGGTGCCACAGAAAGCAATTGGACAGCTGCTTGAAATTCGTATCTCCTCCCCTTCCCTCACGTCACTCAGCAGAAAGCCTTGGGAAGTGGGATCATTTGCTCCACATGCCTTGAAGCATGAGATCTTCATTTCCGAGGAGCAATAGGCTCATCCTCTTCAAACCATTATAAATGCTTACCCTTCCCTCAAGGGTATCTCATAATTCGCACCTTTAATGAAAGATAACACTACTTTCAAATAAGATCACGAAAAAGGCTTCGCCCTCGCCATCACAGGCATTAAGAAACATTAGCGGACATTACCTGATGAAGGCTACCATAATCAGCCAAATGGTTCCTAAATGACTGATCGCTTTTAGGGGTGGAACAGCTGACCTGCCACGGGATTTTCTTATATTCTTAAGGGAGGGAACTAAGAAATACAATCTAACACCTGAATTCTAAGCAAAGTTCCACCTCTGTCCTCAGGATTTCAGGAATGTTATCCAAATGGGCCATTACCTCCGGTTGAGGGGAGAGAGGAAGTGAATTAAGGACCTTTTTTATGCTTAAATTGGGAGGTATTTTACACTCTGTTAACTCCGCTTGAGCTACACTTGGGTGTGTTCCTTATATATTTAAACATTATCCACTTGGTCACCAGGACTCCATGATAATCTAGCTTAGCGATTTTTAAACCGCAGGGTTGTTGCAAATCTAGTTTTCTAAACAATTTGAACATATAAAACAGACAAGGGAGCTGCTTTGGTTGAATGCTCACCTTTACCCCCAGCACACTCCTATCCCCTGGGCAGCCTTGAATGTATCTAAGGGCTCCAAGGAGCAAATTTCAAAACCACCCATCAAGTCCTGCCCTAGGGAGGTAGGATCTGCCCCAGTTCTCAAAGTTACAGGGCAAACACCGAACTGCAAAATTAAATACCTTCTGCTTAACACACCCCTTTCCAAAGTAATAGGAGTAAATAGAAACTATAGAGAAAGGTTAGATTTCAGGAGAGAGGAAGAGTCTGTAAAGAGGCTGGGCAGTTAGAGTGCTGAGCTCCTCCAGAGCAAGCCACTTTCCCACTAGAGCATCACTTTTTTTCTTAGGAAAAAGGAAGACTCTTTTCTTAGGAAAAAGCATGGCTCCATGGTTGAGCATTGACCTATGAACCAGGAGGTCACAGTTCGATTCCTGGTCAGGGCACGTGCCCAGGTTACAGGCTCGATCCCCAATGGGGGGCATGCAGGAGGCAGCCAATCGATGATTCTCTCTCATCACTGATGTTTCTATCTCTCTCCCCCTTCCCTTCCTCTCTGAAATCAATTACACACACACACACACACACACACACACACACACACACACTAGTGCCCTGGTGCACGGATTCGTGCACACTGAAAGGAAATTAATTAGAAGGAATATTTTAATATTGCTATTCATGTCTTGCTAATGAAAAGAAATAGGATTCTACTGAGTCTCCTATCTACCTACTCCAGGACTTTTGTGAGGATCAAATGAGATGAGGCACAGGAAAATGCATCACAAATATTTGGTTAAAGTGTAAAATGTTTGCACCTGGCTATAAAGCAAGTCAGGTTCCTGGGCTGAAGAAATTCCAAGGAGGCTAGTCTCTAGGGAAAGAAAGCCAGGCATCGCTATGTGATGTCGTTACCCAGTGCCCACAGCGACCATTTCTGGGCTGAGCTGGGCTGTGGGCCGCATTTTGTGCCATGGGGTCTTGGCAGCATTGGCTAAAATTTGGTGGGGTGTTGCTCTGGGCCTGTGTCCCACTTGGGGGAAGCCGAGTGTTGATTTATCGGCTCCAGGTCCATGGTGCCGTTTATTTTTGAAATGGCCAGTGCGCATCATAGCAGCTCCTGCATTGAGTGCCTGCCCCCTGGTGGTCAGTGCATGTCGTAGCTACCAGTTGGATGGACACTTAGCCTTTTATATATATAGAGTTTTTAAAAGGAAGACTGTATTAGAATCAGAACTTTCTTCATGTTTGTTTCCTCCTGAAGCACAGAGCATATTCCTCAGTGCCATCTTTGATCACAGTGTTTGCAAAGAGGGCGGGAGGGAGGAAGGCTGCCATGGAAAGAGGAGCTCAGGGTGGCCGGGCCAGTGAGATCTGGAAGAGACCCCTTACTCGGATGGGCTCCTGCAGTAGGCCCATCCTCTCTCCCTTGCCACCTCATTCTCCCACTGAGAGACTTGATCCTGAGGGCTTTTCCAGTTCATTATACTGTCATATTTTCTGCTTCCAAGTGCTTCTTGATCACCACCTATGTTTCTCAAAGGCCCTTGATCTAAACAGAGTCTTAATTTGTGCTTTGAAGGTATTCATCTCAGGGGTAGTGAGTTACTAATATTCTATTTACTTGTAAATTTTCCTACTTAGAATATTTACTGATTGATCCTGTAACCAAATTGATTGAAAGCTTTCTTCCCTTTCTTTTTTATAGGATTGCTTTTATTTTCTCTAAAATCCCTGAGCCCCTTACCCTGATTTCCACATATTTTTATATTGGGACACTTGCAATCCACGGTTCTCTACAATAATGTCTTATGCTTGTTAAGTGGCATGGCTCACTGGGATCTGGAGTTCACCACCCCTTTTAAAGGAAACCCGTGCCAGAAAATTTCAGCACGAAGATGCTGTCTCATTGCAAGGGTATGGGAAAGGCCATTGCAAAGGGGAGAGGGAGCGAAATATTCTGGATGCCGCATACTTTACCAGTTATGTCATGCTGTTTGAATGACTCGCTGTAGATCTGATACTGATTCGGACAATGTTTCTTCAACCACTTGCAGACATCCTGCTGAGTCCACAGAGCCACTGGTTTTGACAGCTTCACCGTAGACGACTATAAATAAAGAAGGAAAAGCAGGTCTGTTAAAGCCAGCCCCATGCCTAGAAAGGCATTACTATCAGGAGTCCTAGAATGCGGTAAAGTCTGCCAGCTGGAGTCCCCAGACATAAATACCTGGCCCTTGTCCTCCTAACCTCAGCAGACCTTCTCCACACCCCCGGAAACCAGAAAGAAAAGCTCCGGGCAGGGAAGCCCATCTATACTCAAGTTATCATCTCGATGGGGAAATGTCTCCAAGAAGCAGTGTTTTCTGATGAATACTCCGACAACAAGGCAATGGTGTTGCTAAGCAATTAATTAAACTTTAGGGGGAAAATAGCTGCCTCCAAGTGGCCTTTCTCTGTATTCCAAAGTGTCCACCGCTTGTCCTCTGGTATCTCCAGGGCCTAGTACAACACTGGTCCTGGCAGATGCTAATAATTATGTCTAAAATGAATGTTGCAGGAATACTGCATACTAAAAAGTGCAGGTCGCTCTGGCAGCTCTGGCTGAAGGCGGTTCTATAAAGTCTAGGAACATTAGTTATGCCACAGTGAGGGAGCAAGAAGTCAATTCTGCCAGCATGTGGGGAAAGGTAATAAGGTACTGGGAGCAGCTAGACCTTCTGTAGAAGCCAACTAGCCAGGGCCCTTTACTGCTCACTGGACCTTTGGAGGAGGTGTTTAGAAAACCAAACCAAGCAGAGGCACAAGGACCCCCAGCCTTTGACAGATGGCGGGTTACAAATACATTTGGAAATTACCAACAATTAACTGTGCTAGACACTGGTCCTCCTCATGGATTCCAGGAACTTGCTTGAACCTACATAAATGCTTAACTATCTATATTTTTAAAAATATTTTTATTGATTTCAGAGAGGAAGGAAGAGGGAGAGAGAGATAGAAACATTAAGGATGAGAGAGAATCATTGATCGGCTGACTCCTGGACACCTCCTACTGAGGATCAAACACACAACTGGGGCATGTGCCCTGATTGGGAATTAAACCGTGACCTCCTGGTTCATAGGTCGATGCTTAACCACTGAGCCACGCCAGCCGGCCAGCTATCTATAATTTTTATCACTTGGATCAGTGTTTGCCAACAAAGTAGGATTATAATATTGATAGTTCTTTAAAAGCTGTGGGGAGGCACACAGACCTGGCCATAAATATCACTGACCTTCTCACTGGGGATCATTTGCTTTCATTTCTCTTTCAATCTTTTGGAGTAAGTCAAGGGGAGAGCCTCAATTTTGTCTGAGTGTGATTTAACACCTTTCTAACACCTGCCAGCATGTGTTTGACAAAGAGAGGGGTCCCTTCAGCCTCAGCTCCTTCAACCGACAGCAGTCAATTTATCATCTAATAACTGTTCTGTTTTACTTTTATTATATCTAAGGTTGCTTTTATTTTATGGCAAATAAATCATGGCAAAAAAGAAATCTTATTTTGGTAGTACTGTCTAGTTTGCTTTTAAAACAAACTTGAGTAGGTCAATTTTAAGAAAAAAAGAGTAAGGACACAACAGTAGAAATAATAAGATAACTGTAAAAATAGTGGACGTGATTCAAATTTAGAAAACAGTGCTCAGGTGTTAGCTTTCATCGGTATATTTTCAGTTGTATGATTCTTTGTGCCATTATTTATAAAGCAATCACAAAAATGCATCACTTTTTATTTTGAGCCTTGGTAATATTTCTTCCACTCTTATTGTGATAGATTTTATATATGAACACATATACACACACACTTATATACATATATACCTATCTGCTTTTCATTTATCATGACTGGCTTTCCTCCACTGATATTTGGGGTTGATGTTCTCTCCCTTTGAATTTCTCCAGGGTCTGTGACCATCCTGACTAATCCAGTACAGCAGAATTCATGCTATCTGTGTTTCTGAAGCTAGGTGATTAAAACAGACAGTCTCTGCCTGGCTCACCCTCTCCGGCACTCTTCTTTGGAACCCCGCCACCATATTGTGAGGAAGCCCAGACCACATGAAGAGACTATGTGTAGGAGTTTGGGCCCATCACCCAGCTAAGGTCACAGCTGACAGCAACCACCAACACCATTCCTCAGACAAATGTACAAACAAACTTAAGATGATTGCAGCTGCCAGCCTTCAAATCTTCCGGCTGAGGCCTCCAGACACCATGATGCAGAGACAAGCTGTCCCTGCTGAGCCCTAAGTGAATTCCTGACCCATATAATCCATGAGCATCATAAACAGTTGTCTTCCACCACTAAATTTTGGGGTAATTTATTTTGCAACTCTAGTAACTGGAACACTAAGTTATATGCTCAGGGAGGATAGAACTGTTACACCAGCTCTCCGGAGTGCCCTGCATTTAATAGATGCTCATACAGCCACAATGAATAAGTGAATGAATTAATGACATGAAACCGTTCTCACTGAGTCTGGGCTCACAGACCTGCTGGCTATTCAGCAGTGAATTTCAAGTCCAGCCCTTGCTGCCTTCCACCGACCTGTGTTGTGCTCATGTGGTTCCTAGTCAAACGTGGCCTCTTCCTTCAACCCTCCATCCCTGAGTCAGATGCTGCCAGACATCTGCCCTCCGCTTTCCTTATTTTGATGACAGAGGAGGACCTCTGGCATGGATGATACAAATGAGTAAATGTTTTGTTGTTGCTCAATTTTTCCCTGTTTGCTGGTCATCGCCTCCTTTCCTTTGTATGATTAGGACACTAGACTTTTGGCTCCTTTAGCTAGAAATGCACTTACCACATTTCACAAGTCAGCACCTCTGAATCTGGCTCTTTCCTGCTCTAAAAATTTCCTTCAGATTAGCTGAACGAGTTCATAGCTGACACATCATTACCCTGCAACCCCTTGCAAGTTTCCTGCAAGTCAAGCTAATCACATCTCTGGAAAACTCCTAAAACCAGACCCAGAAGGCTGTAAATTAGGAAGGGAAAGGCAAGAGGATAAAGCTACTTACACATCAATATACCAAACGTCCTGGAGGGTCATTCTTTAACCTTCTCATTTCCTAGGAAACAGACCACCCTCACACCAAGACAAACCCATGCAACTGGAGGCTCAGGGGGCGATGAACTCAAACATGCCAAGTCATCTCAGAACTCAACCTCACCAGCCCACCAGGTTTGCTTTCGTTATAAATTTTCCTTTTATCACAAATCCAGGTGTTCTAAGGCTAACACGTAAAAAGCGGGTTCATTTTTCCTTCAGAATATACTCTTGCTATGTGGTCACTTGGTTACCACTTGCTTGGATGGCAATAGACACAGAACTTTAGACATAGATTGTTAAGACTGTGTAAACCTACAGGAATATACCTCCACATAAACTGCTAGAGCAAATAACATGGGGAGGAGTAAAGATTTCTACTATGAATAAGCACTGCTCATCTCTCCTCAATCAGACAGTGATAGAAGTATTGGCTCCATTTCTGAGCTGATTCTTTACCGTGGCTTTATTATGGAGTTGGTATCAGTTTGCTCCACATTAAGAGCCATGGTGACTCCCGCTGCCCTAGTCTGGATCCTCAGAGCACTCATTTGTTCTGCCAGAACTTCTTCGTGTAGCCCCCACAGGTGCCCTCAGGACTTCTCCAGTCTATCATGATGCCCCATCCCCAACAGCAACCAAGTTTGGGGGAATGAATGTTATAACCTGATTCCTTTAAAAAGCTTAACCTTTATTTCTATGTGCAATTTGAAACGCCAAGCATTTGTTCAACTCACATCAATCTGTGTTCCACACTGTCCCACTGGGCAGCGCAGAGCAGTCAAATCTCAACAGTTCCATAGTGACTTGAACTTTTATTTGAACCTTTCCTTGCCACCCAATACTCACACCTCTCTTTACGCCCAATGGAAGATAATTTTGTCTGATGTGCCATGTTTTTTTCACCCACAATAGGAGCCTAAACTGAAATAATAATAGTTCATAAAACAAAGAAATAGTATTTCATATTTATTAGAAAAAATAAACTAATAAAAAGTCCTGCACCTAGGCAAACATTAAAAAAAACATTGGCCCCAGTTTTTCCCCCATGTTCAGTCTACTACAGCATTCTCTGCATTTACAGCTCTGGAGGCAATTTTGGTTGCTTTTGCTGCCCTGAGAGAGGCCGGAGGCAGTTGGTTATTTTAACCTCGATGCATCCTGACACCAAGCAGGACGGCAGGGATTTCCTTTCTGAGTCAGTTCCGGCTTTTCTATAGACAAGCTGAAAGTCTGTTTTACACGAAGACCTCACTTTATGCAAAAGACACATCTTTGTTTACAAATTACTTTTTTTTTTGCAAATGATTCCATTTTAGACAATAATTTTAGCTATGCTTTACAGTAATTTCTGATTTGTATTTAACTAGAAAGAACTCTCAAGTTTTAAGTTCTTTGAGGTAAACCTGAAGCTTTTCTGCTAATAAAATAAATGCTTTAAAGAAGTTTGCTATGGAAAAAAAACATATACAAAACACTTTTAAAAGTTGAATTTTGTAACCCAATTACCCCTTATCTGTTTTGCAACATAAATTCCCTTTTAACTTATTGGGTTTTGATTTATAAGAGAACACTGCAATTTTAAGCTCCCGATGGCTGTACAAACTCTTAACTGGGTAAGCTTATATGAGACCGAGTTGATTGTGGAAAAATAGAGAAAGCATAGAGTGTTTACACCCACTAGAAGGACAAAGAAAGCTTTATGGCCAAATATCAAGAAGTGGTAAACACATTTGCAGTGTCTCATTTATAAGCAAGAATCATTGATCGGCTGCCTCCTGCACACCCCCTACTGGGGATCGAACCCACAACCAGGGCATGTGCCATGACGTCGAATGGAACCGTGACCTCCTGGTTCATAAGTCAATGCTCAACCACTGAACCACTCTGGCCGGGTTCACTGTGTAATCTTACTTAAGACGGAAAAAAGGAAGGAGACTGGAGGGGAAGGGCGTGGGGGAAGAAAAGGCAACAACTCATCAATGTCTATTTTAGCAGGTTTTAATGGACTGTGTGTATG